TATATATATATATTAGTAACAAGAACACTCGACTGTAGTCCAGGAAATTCAAGTAAAACGCAGTTTATTAAGGGCAAACACAAAAAGTCTCTGTTCATCCACAGGGTAGCCTTCCCCTGTTACACAAGACAGCTTGCAGCAGCCTCATAAAAGACAGTCTTTTGTTCACATAAAGGCCAGTATTTATGCACTTCTCACGATAATCATCCTTCTTCAGCATATAGAGTCCTTTGTAGCATATATAGTCCTTAGCAGCTTTCCTCAGCTCTAAGCCTCTCAGCATACCTCTACATGACACTCACACTGCTCTCCCAGCAGTGGATCACGGACTCTCTCAGCGGTGTCCAACAGGTCCCTTGGGTCACCGACCTTCCTGACCTCTCCCAGCCTCCCCCAGCTGTTCCTTGTGCGTCCAGCACGCACCTGAGTCTGCCTGTGTCCGTGTGCCTCCTGCACACACACAACTCCCACACCCCACTGAGCACTGAGCTGGCTTCTAAATAAGGCTACTCTCAGCCACTTGATCAGCCCAAGCTGGTCATTGGTAACACCTGGCCCCAGAACTGGAGATCTCATCCCACCCAGAGCTCTAAGAGATCTCCAGAGCTCCAGATCCCAGCTACAATTAGGAAAATCTGGAAGGACCTGAAAAGCCAGGCTCTTCCTTATAACATTGTTTACATTCTGGACCCTCTCAGCCCCTTTGGCTGAGAGTCCTGGGTGCCAATGTTGCCATACTACGCCACGGCATGTGTTTGAAAGTGATTGAAATAGCTGGTGAATATGGCTTAACGTAAACTATGAAATTTAAAGCAGGAGCACTATGTCGATTCAGGTGTATTCAGAAAAGCCTGCTCAAACACCAGACTAGTTGCTATTATGCAACAATGAAATCTCACTCTGCTGGTCCTGCTTCAACCTCTTTTTTCATTATTATTATTATAACAGTAATCAATCATGATGATAATTGGAAAATTAGGATCTCTCCATGGCAATTGTTTTTTTATTCACATATTAACAGTTAAAGGAGAACTATGAGATGAGTGATTTCCACTCACCTCATAGTTCTAGCTGACCTGTGACAATGAGACTGTCACAGGTCGGCTCAGTAGATCGAGAGGTGAGCGAACACATACCAGGTTCGCTCACCTTCCGATCCTCGCGGCTCTCTGCCGTGACAGGGGGAGGGGCTGGATTCCCCTCTCCCCGCTCCGATCTGCCAGCGCTGACTGGCGGAACGGACGGGGGGGGGGGCGGGTACAGCTGGCTCTGCCTCTAGATAGGCAGAGCCAGCTGTCACTCACGCAGCTGGGCGGATCCCGTCATCTACATCGGGATCCGCTCCGGCTGCCGCGTCTCAGTATACCTGAGCTTAGGGTAACGGGAGGACGCTAGTTTGTGTCCTCCCGTTACCCTAAGGAGAACTATGGGGAAAAACACTGACCCCATAGTTCTCCTTTAAGGCTCTTTTTTTGTTTCTATGACTAATGCTTCTAGGACATAGCCAGGTATTACAAAGGATGTCATTCTTTGGTAAGTCCATAACACAATTGGACAAAAAATACAGGTGTCATAACTCTACACATAATTACTGTCCACAGATGAGAATTCTTTACTTAAAAACACTTTTTATTAAAAAAAACTTTGATGGAGCGCATGCGCGAAGCCGCCGATGAAGGTAGCCTTCTAGGACTGCTCCGCGGCTCACCCAGGCATT